TTCTATGGCCTTCAGTGACTCTAAAGATCTGGTCTACCATGCCGAATACGAAGGTGATGAAGACTGTGAAGTGCCGGGAGAGTTGGCTAGACTGTTACAACAGGAAGAAAGGTCTATTCTACCTCATGAGGAGCTGTTAGAGACAATCAACCTGGGTACTGTTGAAGACAGAAAAGAAGTCAGAGTGGGTTCCAACCTAGAGCCAAGTGTAAAGGAGCACTTAATTCAGCTGTTGAATGAATATGTTGAGATCTTCGCCTGGTCTTACGAAGACATGCCGGGACTCGATACAGATATTGTGGTTCACCGTCTCCCTGCAAGAGAAGATTGTCCACCAGTTAAACAAAAAGTCTGCCGCATGAGGCCCGACATGTCTGAAAAGATCAAAGCAGAAGTGATGAAGCAGTTCAATGCTGGATTTCTCGCTGTTACTTCCTATTCACAATGGGTTGCTAACATTTTGCCCGTGCCTAAGAAGGACGGCAAAGTGAGAATGTGCGTAGATTACATAGATTTAAACAGGGCTAGCCCTAAAGATGACTTTCCCCTACCGCACATTGACATCTTGGTTGACAATACAGCTCAGCACAAGGTATTTTCTTTCATGGACGGATTTTCAGGGTACAACTAGATCAAAATGGCCCCTGAAGACATGGAGAAGACTACTTTTGTTACACACCGGGGTACCTTCTGCTATAAAGTGATGCCATTCGAACTGAAGAATGTCGGGGCAACCTATCAGCGCGCCATGGTAGCTTTGTTTCATGACATGATACATCATGAAATCAAAGTCTACGTAGACGACATGATAGCCCGTTCACAAACGGAAGAAGAACACCTCGACCATTTGCAAAAGTTGTTTGTCAGGTTGAAGGAGTACAAGCTCAGACTGAACCCTAACAAGTGCACTTTCGGAGTCAGGTCTGGTAAACTCTTGGGTTTCATTGTCAGCAATAAAGGCATCGAGGTTGATCCTGCCAAAGTCAAAGCTATACAAGAAATGCCTGCCCCTCGCACTGAGAAGGAGGTCAGAGGTTTCTTGGGACGCCTAAACTACATTGCTAGGTTCATCTCTCACCTAACATCTACCTGTGAACCAATCTTCAAGTTGTTGAAGAAAGATCAGGTAGTTAAATGGAACGATGACTGTCAAGTTGCTTTCGATAAAATCAAGGAGTATTTGCTAGAACCTCATATCTTGATGCCACCCGTCGAAGGAAGACCTCTAATCATGTACCTGATTGTTTTGGATAATTCAATGGGGTGCATACTGGGCCAACATGACGAGTCTGGTCGAAAAGAGCATGCCATTTATTACCTTAGCAAAAAGTTTACCGACTGTGAGACCCGATACTCACTGTTCGAGAAAACTTGCTGCACTTTGGTATGGGCTGCTCGCCGGCTAAGGCAGTATATGTTGACTCATACCACTCTACTGATATCTAAGATGGATCCGATCAAGTACATCTTCGAAAAGCCTGCTTTGTCTGGAAGAATAGCTAGATGGCAGATGATCCTCACCGAATACGATATACAGTACATGACCCAAAAAGCTATAAAGGGGATTGTACTAGCTGACCATCTGGCTCATCAAGCTGTCGAAGATTACCAATCCATGAAGTTTGACTTCCCTGACGAAGACATTATGACATTGGATAACATTGAAGATTTCAGACCGTATGACATACCTGAACAAGGATCCCGATGGACCCTGTACTTTGATGGTGCCTCTAATGCACTTAGCAACGGTAGCGGCGTGGTACTCATCTCTCCAGAAGGTTGCCATACACCTTTCACAGCTAGACTTTGCTTTAACTAAACCAACAATATGGTCGAATATGAAGCTTGTATCTTTGGTCTCAAGGCTGTAATAGACCTGGGAATCAAATCTTTGGTTGTGTTCGAGGACTCAGCTTTGGTCATCAATCATATCAAAGGAGAGTGGGACACTAAACATCCCAATCTCATCCCTTACAAAGAACATGTCTTGACATTGCTCCCTCATTTCGAGCAGATCACCTTCGAGCACTTCCCGCGAGAAAGAATCATCTAGCAGATGCTCTAGCTACAATGTCATCCATGTTTAAACTTAACTGGGATAATGAGGCTCCCCAAATCACCATCGAGCGAATGGACGAACCTACACATTATCACGAGATTAATACCGAAGAAGTAGTGGACCGACCTTGGTTTCACGGAGTCAAAAGGTATCTCGAGGCTCAAGAATACCCGGAAGGAGCTTCAATCAACGACAAAAAGTTCTTGAGGAGATTCTCAGCTAAGTTCTTCTTGAGCAATGGAATCTTGTACAAGCGCAATCATGATTGCATTCTGATCTGTTGTGTGGACAAAGTTGAAGCTGAGCAGATCATGGCTGAACTATATAATGGTACCTTTGGCACCCACTCAAGCGGGCATACGATGGTTAAGAAGATTCTACGGGCAGGATACTACTGGTCTACCATGGAAGCTGACTGCCATCAACATTCCAGAACTTGTCACAAATGTCAAATATATGCGGACAAGGTACATATACCTCCAGTTCCTCTCAATGTCTTAACAGCTTCTTGGCCATTCGCTATGTGGGGAATCGACATGATTGGAGAGATCAAGCCTACAGCATCCAATGGACACCGCTACATCCTGGTAGCCATTGATTACTTTACCAAGTGGGTCGAAGAAGCTTCCTTCGCATCTGTCACAAAGAATGTTGTTGCCCGGTTCATCAAGCAGAACCTCATTTGTCGGTACGACATCCCCGAAAGGATCATCACTGACAATGGTACAAACCTTAACAACACTATGATCACCGCCTTGTGCGAGCAGTTCCAGATTCAACATCACAATTCATCTCCCTATCGGCCAAAGATGAACGGTGTTGTCGAAGCTTCGAACAAAAATATCAAGAAGATCATACAAAAGATGACAGTCACCTACAAGGACTGGTATGAGATGTTACCGTTTGCTCTCCACGGGTACCGTACCACGGCACATACATCAATTGGGGAAACACCCTATTCTTTGGTATACGACATGGAAGCTATTTTACCTATCGAGGTTCAGATTCCCTCCTTGAGAATCATGAAAGATGCTGGTTTGAGTGAAGACGATTGGATTCAAACTCGGCTTGATCAACTTAACTTGATTGATGAAAAGCGACTTACTGCTGTTTTCCATGGTCAGACGTATCAAAAGCGGATGATCAAGGCTTTTAACAAGAAATTCAGGCGCCAGGTATATCAAGTCGGGGATCTTGTAATCAAGCAGATCATCTTGCCGCAAAGTGATCCCAGGGGCAAATCGGCTCCTAACTACGAAGGACCATTTGTGATCAAGAACATCTTTTCTGGTGGGGCAATGATATTAACCACCATGGACGGCGATGACCTGCCGCACCCTGCAAACACAGACATAGTCAAAAGATACTACGCATAAATGACCCGCTAGGTTGACATACCTAGGCAAAAAAAGGGCATCCCGGTGAATCGAAAACCCGAAAGGGCGGTTTAGGCAAAAGTTAGTGATAAACAAAAAAAATCTGTACACCCGGCAAGTTGAAAACCCGAAAGGGCGACTTGGGCAAAAAAGGGTTTCCCGGTGGATCGAGAACCCGAAAGGGTGGTCCAGGAAAAAGTTAGGGAATTAAAGCGTATGACTATGGCTCGTTGGATCTCTTTAAGGACAATCTCTTCACAGACAAGCTCCGGGATTCTGATCAACTCAATCATTCTTCGGACGAAGCAATGAACGGACAAGATATTTAGAGTTACGAAGGCTATAGCAGAATGGGAACCCCATGGATTTTTCACACATAGCCATCTTTCTTTGTATACATTTTTCTCAATTTTTATGACAATGTTCTCTTACTAGGACGTCTGTCTCCCTTGTACAAAATACTTACACAAAGTTAATACAAAGATACTTCAAAGTGCAAAAAACTATTTGTCTTTTCCTTTTTACACTTGTGTTTTATTTGAAAACGTCCAATGATTTATTAATGAGCATATGCATTTGAATATAATCACATGTTTACAAATAAACGAAATGGGAAAGAATAATTACTGACAGGTTGAAGGTATAGGAAAATGTCTTTAGGCTATTCCAGGATAAATCCCCTGCAGTATATCATCTAGATCCCCAGCGGAGCTAAAACCTTGAAATGCATATCTCCAGTGGAGCTAAATTTCAAATCCCTTAATCTCCATCAGAGTTAAGTTTTCAAACTCCCAATCCCCAGCGGAGCAAAACTTTGAACTACAGACCCTCAGCGGAGATGAAACCTTCTTCCCCAGCGGAGACAAACTATCAATCTACAGCGGAAACCATTCAGTTTTCCCCAGATTCCCCAGCAAGTTGTCTTACAGTCTGAGAATCAACCAAATAACAGTTAACTTTTATCCCCAACCTAGGATAATTCCCCAGTAGAATGGCATATAACCCAAACTCTTGAACTTTTTCTAAACAGGAATAAACTTTTTCCCCCAGCCATAAAAAATATAAAAATAGAGGGACCAAAAATACATTTAAACCTTAAAAAAAATTAAAAACTAAGTTATTATTAACTTAAAAATTGTGACTTGTACTTAATAATTAATTAGTTAAAAATTAAATCAAAATAAGTAATTAAATAAATTATTAATTTAAATTATTATTTAATTAACTATTTGAATTAACATTAACTAATAAATGAACTTTAACTTTTAATAAATATTTATTAACATAAGGATATTTTAGTAATTTTATACTTAATCAACACTTCCCCTTCTATTTCTTTTATCTTTCTCTTATAAAAAAGAATACTTCAAATCTATTGAACTTCTTACATATTTATTTCTTCACAATTTCTCGTTACGATCAAACATATCCTAAAAAAAAATCAAATAAAAAAGTACAAAAATTCAATTATGAACCCAAAGAAACTTATCTATGTACAATGTCAAATCCCTCGGCAAAATATCCTCTGTAAACATATGGATCCTTTGTAATTGTAAGTCGTACTTTTAATCAAAGGAAGATCGAAATAAACGGCTGATAATGGAAACTTTAGAGAGGGGATTCTTTTTTATGGGAATAATTTGCCTAGCGACACCTTTAGCCACAGTTGGTAATCTGAATGCAAGGGCGACTTTCTTTTCCAACACATTCACCTCGACGGACTCTGTCTCTACTGAAAAATCAAATATTGATGCAAGCATCAAGAGTAAGCTACCAAGCAAAGTGCCATTACTTTAAGATTATGGTTTAATTATTATGCAGTCTTAAACTATTTTGAATATATATATATATATATATATATATATATATATATATATATATATATAAAAGTTGTAATTATTAAGTTCATGAAGGTAGAAGTGAGACACCCGGAGAACATTGCTATGAAGGTAGAGGCGCGAGGCGGTTGTCAAGGCGCACGTCTCAATCTTTGTATCATACTCCCTCTATTCTTTTTTATAAGAAAATTTTAACTTTTTAGATTAATTTAATAATTGACGTATCTAACTTATATATAGTCTAAATACATTATTTATTCAATGAATCTAAAAAGTCAAAATTTTCTTATAAAAGAGAATGGAGGGAGTACTTAATTTGTTTTATGTCATTTGTAAGAGAAGAGCTTGATTGCTAGAGAGAAAAACTTAGAGATAGAGTGGGAGATTCTTGAGAATTATAATCATAAGTATTGGAAGATTTTTGGTTGTAAACTAAAGGATGAGAAATACATTTAAATATTTTGGGATTAAGTGATTCATGTATTAAATGATTTAGAGATTGAGTATCAAATAGATGGAAATTATGAAGAATTCTCATAAATTTGATGAATTAATTTATTGTAATTAATGTGTAATCTCTTGATTGATATTAGATCGAAAACTTACTCTCTCCTCTAAATTAGATTATTTTTGGATTAAACTTAGTAAAATAATTAATTGTGTTGATTCTCTATTTTTATTTTTTTGTTAACATGTGGATTTGCATACTTTATGTTGGTAGATTGAGTATTATTTCAGTTGTTTAGTTTGGTTTCTATTTCTTTTTGTCCTACAAATCATATTTTTTTGATATATCTGAATCATTCATTCATCATTTTTAACAAGTGGTGGATACTATAGAAAATAAATGTCTAAGATTACAATTGAGCATCATAGATTATAAATTAGATATTAAGAAGTTTTTCGGATGCAATAATTTTGGATTGTGAAAAATGAATGTGAGAAATTTTGATTCAACAAATATGTGTATAAGGCTTGAAAGGTGAGACATTGATGTCGGCAAATCTCACATGAGTACAGAAGATCGAAATAGTAGATAAAACTAGACGTTCCATTAACGTGTGTCTTGAAGATGAAATATTGTGGGAAGTCACAAGAGAGAAGTTTGTGGCAAAAATATGGGTCAAATTTAAATGGTTATATATGACAAACTCATTGGCTCTTATGTGTGAAACAACAACTCTATACTTTTTAGATGGTGGATTCCAAATCTATTGTGAAGAAATTGATAAATTTCTATTATTGTTTATGACTAGCAAAATATTAAGGTGAAGTTTGATGATGATGATGATGATGATGATGATGAGGCTTTATTCTTATTCAACCAATTAAAAACTTAAAGATTGAAGATAATGGAGAAGGCTTGAATGTTACAAGAGGCTGTAGTGAGTAAAGAAAATCTAAAGGGAAAAAATATAATTATAAGTCCAAGTTCAAGAATTCAACAAACTAAACATATTTCATTGTCACTAAAAACTGACCACTTCGAGAAGGATTGTCCTAAGAATAGAGAACATAATGGGGATTTCTTCCATATGGTGATTGCCTTATATGAGAATGGTTATGGCATTGATGGCCGCTATGGGTTAAAAATTTGAATATAAAGAAAAGTTTTATATGAACTTAGGATGCTCTTATAACATGAGTCCAAGAAAGGAATAATTTGAGATTTTAAAGTTAAAAATATGGAGTTTCTGACTCAGCACTCATAAGATTTGCAAGATTCATGGTATTAGTACAAATTAATTCATATTGTTTGACAACAATGAAATCTTTTCATGAAATATGAGATATATGTATGAACTTACAGAAATTTGTTCTCCATAAATATTTTTTATTATTTAGACTATTGCTTTAGAATTGAACATGGCATGCTGAAAGTTTCTGATGGTTCTATCATTATTGGTATGCATTGATATATAGTCAAGATTGATATTTGATAAATGGTCCAAAATATGCATTTTTTATGTTTTGGTTGGTTCTAGTATTATTGATAATGGATCATTAGCTAGCCAAAACTTTCATGATAAAAGAAAACTATGTAATTTGAGGTTAAGGTATGTTAGTGAAAGAAGTTTGGTTGAACTAGATAAGTAGGGTTTAGTAGGTATTGAAAAATTGAACAAGCTAGAAATTTATGATCATTGCATACTACATAAACAACATAGAGTGATGTTTATGAGTGTTATGTATAATTCTACTAGGTCGTTTGAGTGTGCTCATTAGGAACTTTGGGTTCTAGTAACGGAAGAAACTCATAAAGGGTTTTTATTTTCTCACTATTATTAATGAGTACTCTAGAAGAGTACAAGGTCATATTTTGAAACATAAAAGTGACATCTTTGAAAAGTTTAAAGAATGACATACTCTTATAAAAATAAAATATGAACTAAACTGAAATACTTAAGAAATGAAAATGGTTTGGAGCTTATTTCAGAAATGAGATATAAAGAGGTATAGAAATGTAGTTGGCCCTATTAGAGTTTGGCTTAACTCACCTTTATAAAATTGACTTGTAAGGTGAGGAGTGTCACTCTATATACACTCTTTCAAGGCTCTATCTACAACCAATGTGTGACTTGGAATTTTTCCAATACACTCCCTCACGCCTAACATTCTCTTGGACTTGGTGCATAGATTTAAACGGTGGGTAGCCCAAGGTCTGATCAATAGGCTCTGATATCATATTAGAGTTTAGCCTGCTTGTAAGGTAAAGGGTGTCACTCTATATAAACTCTCTCAAGGTTCTATCTCCAACCAATATAGGACTCGGAATTTTTCCAAAAGGCACACTACAACAAAATGGGAGATGAGACACTCACGTTTTTTTTGGGTAAAATTAGTTCTACTACAACTTATTTGAGTAAGAGGTGTCCATCCATAAAAATATATTTCAATACACCTATGAATGTTTAGAGTAGTAAAGTAGTAAACTATTATAATTTGAATTTATCAAAGCTTTGGCGTTTATGCATATCAAGCTAGATAAGTTTTATGCTAGAGATATCAAATGTGTCTTTATTTGTTATCTTAAAGGTAATAAAAGGGTTAGAACTGTGGAAGATTGAATCTATAGGATCAAAATTAATCTTAAGTAGGGAAGTTATTTTTTATGAGAGTGATATAGAGATGAGGTGCAAAGATTTGGAAGTTAATGACTCAGAAACTAGGTTGAAGAAATATCATTTTTTTATGTGGATGTTCTTACTAATGAGACTAGAGATAAAGAGGAAGTTGACACTCCCACTTTTAGTTTTAGGAAAGGACTGTTTATAATGGGTCCAAAATATATGTTGACTTATGACAGATTGAAGGATTATATTGTAACACCTCTGACATATGGTTACATGTTGATCTTATTTGTTATACTTTAAATGTGACTAAAAATTATCAAGATTAGGAATTAAAGATCTTCAACGAGACATTTGAAAGCATAGAGAGTTAAAAATGACTCAAGGAGATTAAAATTTCTCCTAGGGTAATCCTATGTAATTAGGGTGTTGTGTTTCTTATATTTTATCTTTATTTTATTTCAATTTAGTCCCTCGCATTAAACTTGCACTTGTACCTTTTTAAAATGGCTTTTGCATATATAAAATAAACATTTCACTAAGATCAACACAGTTGACTCAAATCAAAAGAATTTATTATTTGAACCAAGAAAATTTGTTCAGCATGATTCGAATCACACACTTATCCAATCCAAATAATTGAAAAAAGTGTTTCTCAAAAAATGAATTTGGGAAACATGATTCAAATTAAGATTTTGCTCGATTCTAATAAAGAAGGTTATTTTATAAAATGAATTCAGTCCAGGAAACATGATTCAAATCATGGTTTTGTCTGATTCGAAACATGAGTGTGTATCTGTAAAACAAATTTAAGAAATGTGATTTGAGACATGGTTTTGTGTGATTTGAATCATGAGCATATTTTTGTCAAATGTATTTAATTCGGGAAACGTGATTCTAATTATGGTTCTATGTGATTCGAATCATGAGAATATTTTTTGTTAGAACATAGTTTGATTCTACAACCCTTAATTAGAGTTTTGATGATAACAAACACAAAGAACAAATATGCACTCTAAAATTGTGTTACTGTGTATGCAGAAGTTCTGACCAAAGCAACATCAGAAGTTAAGCTATAGAAGCTTTCTTGCTGAGGTAATTAGAATCTGCGCTGAAGAATGATGATCAGAACATGCGCTGAAGTGAAGAATACTCGGATTCTGAACAAAAGGTTCATATACAATCATATTCTCACAACTCTAAGTCATCAATGTTCTGAAGCAATTGCAGCATACAAGAGTGTAAGATTCTGAAGCGTTACTATTCAATCAAGACAGCATCACATGCAACGGCTTCATTCAGACAAGAATCTTCTCAATATGGAAACAGCTTAAATGTCCATTATCACGGTTTGTGTTGGACAGGATTCCATTGCCTATATAAACAAGCTAAGAGGACAAATCGTTTACGATTTTTCAATATCATTGTAATACATCTCTAAACGCTGCAAGCTTACATACTCTTTTCACGCTTAAAATTGTGTAAAATATCACAGTTGTGATAACTGTTTTTATAAAGAAAAACAACGATACACAAAATTCTTTTATCTTGATTAAGCCAGTTTTTTCCTTGAGATTGATCGGGTTGTGGTTGTACTCAAGAGGACTTTGACAGTTGTCAAAGTAGTGATTGTAATCAGTTTTTGATTAGTGAATTAAGTCCTCGTTGGAGAGAGGCGAAATCACCTTGACGGGTGGACTGGAGTAGTTTGAGATTAAACGAACCAGGATAAAAATATTGTGTCTTTGCACATTTGATTTTAAGTTTTCAACTCAACCCCCCCCCCCCCTACTTCTTGTGTTTTTCACTTCTTCAATTGGCAT